ACAAACTTTGGCAGGACAGCTGGGGGTCCGTTTATTGCGACTAGTTATGACTATGATGCACCAATTGATGAATATGGTATGCATACACATATGGAATTACAGAATTACAAGTTTAGTATAGTTTAACGTAGTGTTCTCATTTTTTTTTATTTTTTTTTTAATTTTGAAAAAAAATCATGTAGGATTAATAAGGCAGTCAAAGTGGGGCCACCTAAAGGATCTACACAGAGCAATAAAGCTGTGTGAGCGAGCTCTTGTATCCGTTGACCCCAAGATTATGTCCCTTGGAAAAAATCAAGAGGTTAATTAGTTGTAAATTTTATTAATTAATAATCTTTTTTGCTTTCTGTAAGATGATGGCAATGAGATGAAAAGTTGAATATGGCAAACAGGCTCATGTTTTCAATTTGAGCTCCAAGACTTGTGCGGCTTTTCTTGCAAACTACGACCAACAATCAAGAGCAACCGTAAAATTTGAGAGTTTTTCATACATTTTGCCTCCTTGGTCTATAAGCATCCTCCCCGATTGCAAGCATGTTGTCTATAACACGGCAAAGGTACCGAAAAATACCAATCGAGCTACTGTTTTCTTAATTTTCTTTTGTTTATGGAAATTTTTGGTTTTGTTTGGATTTTTTCGTTTGATTTGGTTAATTTTGAAAAAAGTGGTATGGTTAGTTGTTAGTGATATGTTAAAATAATGTTTAAAATAAAATAATTAAAATTGATTTGATGTAAAAGTAGGAGAGAGATGATTTGGAGTGATGGTTAGTTAAAATAATGTGAGTGGATGAATAATAAATTAAGATTGATGTGGTGTGTATGAATGATTGATTGATATTATTTAATTATATTGATAATATTGATGATAATGGAGTTGAATTAAAGTTTAGTTAAAAAAAAAAGTGGTTGAGTTAAAATGTTGTAAATCTTTTAAAAGTTTTCATAAACAAACACATGCTCTAAGACTTTTGAGTAACTTAGAATGGGAGAGCCTTTTGCTTGTTTGTACCTGAGAATCCCAGCCCAAAGGCAGAAATTAAAATCTGAAAGGCCTGTATTAGGAAAAAGGAGGAAAAATATGAGAACCTGGATTATTAATCGTTTTTATTTATCTTGTCTTAGAGGACAAGTTAAGGAGTAGGGTTTATGGGAGCCTTATTTAAAGGATTCCCCATCTATTATCTGAGATGGTTGATTTTGAATAAAAATATGAATTGATATATTGTTTTGGTATTCTTGAAATTGTGATCTCATTAATATCGTCTCACTCGTACGCTTCCTTACATCAGTTTTGTTTGTACCTGAGAATCCTAGCCCAGGCCAAAGGCAGAAATGAAATCTGATGTATTAGGCAAAAATCAGGAACAAAACCTGGAATGTCTAATTACTATTACAAATAATAGGCAAAAATACATTTTAAGTCCTGTTGGTTTACGTCATAGTAATTTTAATCTCAATGTTCCAACTTTTTGCCTTTTGGTCCTCATGTGATTTAATATTTTACTGCAATTTCAGTTCTCTGAGGACTGCAATTGCAATAGAATTTCAAATTACAGGATTGGAATTAAAATTAAATTTTAAATTGCATGACTTCAATTGTTAATAAAAATTCATCCCAAAAATATAAATTGGGAATTTGTTGCAATTTCAGTCTTTGAAGACTGAAATTGCTGCAAAATATTAAATTACAGGACTAAAAGGCGAAATGTTAGAATCTAAGGACTAAAATTGCTATGACGTTAAATTAACAGGACAAAAAATGCAATTTATCCTGAATAATCAATAAAATGACACATTTTTAGATGAAAATGTTGTATTTAAAAATTTTAATAATGATATATTTTCGTCATAAAATATATTTTTTGGTCAGATTGGTGCTCCAAGTTCAAGAATGAAGATGACGGGTGTGACGGGTAAATTCAAATGGAAGTCGTACACCGAAAACATATATAACGACAATGGCTCGTTCACGAAGGCTGGACTGGTCGACCAGCTCGACCTAACATGGGACACGACCGATTATTTATGGAGCAAAATAGAGTAAGTGTAGTAGCACAAGTTATTACTATATATCCACATTTTTAATATAGTACATAGCTGTGTACGATATTAGGTCAATTAATTATGCATAATACTTTGAATGTGCAGCGTGGAAATTGACGGGAAAGAAGGATTTCTACGTGACGGGAAGAATCCCGTTCTTAGGGTCATGTCCGGCGGCCATGTCCTGCACGTGTTCCTTAATGGAATATTAGTAGGTTAGTATTTCATACCCTATATCAGTTTTTTCTCAATAAAAAAAATCAATTTATTTACTTACTCCTAATTTTGGGCTTCATGATTCTTCATTTGCTTGGCTTGAAACTGATGAATATAGTGTTTTTATAACGTTGAAAATTGCAAAGGTTTATTTAATTTTTTATAATAGCTAGTAGAATGTATTATATAAATGTCACTAAATAATTTATACTTACATTTATTAGAATTTATTTGTCTTATATTATGATAATTTTTTCAAACTCGTATCAAATCATAGCTCGTCAAAAGATTATTTGATTCCAATATGTACTATTTTGTACTATTTTCCAGCTTACCGTATTTTTCTTTGTAAAATGCAATCTGAACTTCATAAATATTCATAATTTACACGTTCGCCTAATACTTGACCATACGGCTATCATAAAAAATATGAACGATCAAGATTAGAGGAGTATGCAAATTATGAATGTTCACATTAGCATACTTCTTGACCATTCGACTATTAGGGGAACATGCAAATTATGTATGTTCATGAAGTTCAGATTGCATTTTACCGCAAAACTCAAAAGCACGTATAGTACATGTTGAAAAAGAAATTTTATCACATGATAAATGCAAAAGTTAATGACTTTTAAAACATATTGTAATTTAAGGTTAGTGTTATATGTTTAAAAGTATTAATAGGCATGGATAAAGTCCGCAACTAAATGGAGTAGTATTCCAAAATATTAAAAATTGTCACATGAGCTTACTAAGCACATAGGTTTCGAAGCAACAAAAGTTGCTACAGAACACATAAGATTACGAAGCAACAAAAGTTGATACATGAACTCAGAAAACTCTGCATTGCATTTAACATTTAACACTTATATATAGGGAGGATTTGAATAATATCCTGTTGAAAAGCAACTCGTGCAATTTCTTGCAGAGACCGTCCATGGAGTTTATGATCACCCCAAAGTGGCTTTCACAAAAGCCGTGAATCTAAAGGTCGGGCACAACGAAATTCGCTTGCTAAGCGTAGCTGTTGGTCTCCCGGTTGGTCATCTTTCTAAACACACCCAAGAACGAAAAATGGAAATAAAAAAGAGTTGATTAAAATACAAATACATTTTAGTTCTGTGGAACAAAATGCATGATATTAACTCTGAACTTCTTTTCTCCTTGGCCATGAGCTTAGAATATTGGCCTGAATTTCGAAAATCGGCCACTTGGTGTTTCTAGTGTTTCGCTAGACGGTCTTAATGAGGGAAGACGAGATTTAACACATCAAATTTGGACTTACAAGGTGAGTAATTCGTAGAACTTGGATAAATACACGGGTCTACGTTCCTTTGTTTTAATTTAATTTTTTTTTTCATTTTTTTTATTCTTTTTCAACAGATTGGTATGGACGGAGAAAAATTGGGTCTTTCTACGAAAAGTGGAAGCTCTTCTGTTCAATGGTCTGCAGATACAAGTATATCAAAAGCTTTCACATGGTATAAGGTGAGTACACATATTCTTTCAACTATCGGATTATACTACTCCAAATTTTAGGGGTATATGCATTATTTTTCCAAAATTGAATGACTTTCGACAAATAACAAGTGGAATTCATACCAAATAGTTTGTCCAATGAATTAATGTCATGTGAATATGTGATTACATGCT